TTCTGGATTTTTTTTTTAAATGACACCTAATAACATGACTCCAGGAGTTGGGGCATAAAGAAAAACATGAAATATCATGATACGCTCAATAGTATTGCAAAAGTTGGCAACACTAACATAATGATAAAGGACAAAAATAGCAATAACTGTACAAGATAAATGCACTGAGCTGGACAGAGAGAAGCCATATAGTCACAAACCAGTCTGGGAAACCCAAGAAGGTGCTAAGCTGTTGAGGATGTACTTCAAATAACAATCTTCCACTCAGGTATTGGAAGTATATCATCTGGATGTGGCTTGAAATATTCCCCTGCATTGATTCCATCTGGAATACTTCAGTATCCTGCTAGTGTATGAGAACCAGAACATGAAACTGACTTGCCTATTTTCAGCATCCATCCTGAGGGAAATGCAAGAAGTAAATTCTTTATTAAAGGTGAAATGTTAATTAGATCTTTTCCCAAAGTTCTTTCAAGTTTCTAATCAAATGAGGTGTTTGTAACACAAGTAAGGAAATCTACTTTTTTGTACAAAATGCATCCATCTAAAGCTGATGCAGTCCCGTTAACACTGTTAGGCAAAAAGCCAAAGTAATTCAGCTATTAAAAGTTTGGTTTTAGTTTGTCACAAGTGGAAAGGACAATTTGGCTTGCGTGGAATTGAATTCTGTCGTTGTCCTGATGGCATACAAATTGGAGTCTTATGCTAATAAGTTGGTGTTCTCCCTCTTCTGTGCATTGTTAGTGTTTATTCCTCTTGCTTTAAGAGAATCAGTGGGAGTGCAGCTGTCTAATGTCATCTGTAGGAGAAACCTAGCAGTTGTGCTGCATATCTGTTGCTTCCTTCATCTTGTGTCAGTCTTTTTTTGGTAACAGGAGAGGTACGCACCTTAAGTGACAGCTAAGAAATCTCCATATGACTGTAAGAGAAAAAAAAATCCAAGTGCTGTTTCTGTGTCTCAAGGTGCAGTTCTTTCGGAGACCAGGACACATGGTTTTAATGTGTTCTGTCAGAGGTGGTACGAATATGAGTGTCTAATTCTGGTGATTTGAATTTAGTGTACTTAATCCAGATTTCTGTAATGTCCGTAAAATAATGTTAGTTTAGCATCAAATATTAATAATTCTTGATTGTAGATATATAGATATATCAACCTTATCATGGACAGATGAGATTATATGTGTTTCTCACTGAGCCATGTCTGTTTTGTTAATGTCATTGGGTATAAATTACTGGCATACAGCTGTTGTGCTGACTTTTTTGTAGTGTCCGGCAGCTGTTTCTTTTCTAGGATTAAATGTCTACTTAAAGTTTTTAAGTCTCACTTCATAAATTAAAACTTTGTTGAAACACTTCCTATTTTAATAATGAAGCAAGTGCAATCTAAGGAATGAATGAACAATCTCTAGGTACTGGAGTAGGACTTCGGGATCCTGTCCCCAAAAGCTATATTTCAGGCTCTATTGCTGACTCATTGTATGACCTTGGACAAGTTACTGTGCTTATTTGGTCCTCACTTTCCATCTGTAAAATGAGTATAATAATGTTAACCTACCATAAAAGGGGTTTGCAAGAGCTTTGGATGAAATGTGCTATAAAAGTGCCTGGTACAACGACCATGATGGTGATTGATTATAATGAGCAGTATCATTTTGTGCAAAAAGGACACACAATTTTTAAAATAATATTGTGTGTCCATAAAGGCCAAAGGGCACAATTACAATGTAAAGCCATAGCCCAAGGTAGGAGGTTCTGGTGCTACTGCAGCTCAGGAGTGTGGTCATTGCATCCCCATTTGACAGAGAGCTTGTGTTCCCCTGGCAAGCGGCCAGCTTTGCTAACTGGTACAGGGTGACAGGGCCACGACTCTGTTCTCTATAGTTAGAGCCCTACCAAATTCACAGTCCATTTTGGTCAAATTCACAATCATGGGATTTTAAAAATCGTAAATTTCATGATATCAGCTATTTAAATCTGAAATGTTATGGTGTTGTAATTGTAGGGGTCCTGACCCAAAAATAATTGTGTGGTGGTCGCAAGGTTATTGTAAGGGGGGGGAGGGATTGGCAGTACTGCTATCCTTACTTCTGCATTGCTGCTGGTGATGGCACTGCCTTCAGAGCTGAGCAGCTGGAGAGCGGTGGCTGCTGGCCGGGAGCCCAGCTCTAAAGGCAGAGCCATTGCAAGCAGTAGCAGAGAAGTAAGGGTGGCAAGGTATGGTATTGTCACCCTTACTTCTGCTCTGCTGCCTGCAGAGCTGGGCCCTCAGTCAGCAGCCACCAATCTCCGGCCTCCCAGCTCTGAAGGCAGCAGCGCGGAAATAAGGGAGGCATGGTATGGTATTGCCACCCTTACTTCTGCGCTGCTGCTGGCAGGGCACTGCCTTCAGAGCTGGGCGCCTGGCTAACAGCTGCCGCTCTCTGGCCGCCCAGTTCTGAAAGCAGCACAGAAGTAAGGGTGGCAATATCGTGACCCCCTCTAAAATAACCCCTTGTCTCTCTCTCTCTCACACACACACACACACACACACACACACACACACACACACACACACAC